GATTTGTTTTTTTTTTTTTTTTTTTTTTTAAATTACTCATTAATTATTTTTAAATTAACGAACGAACGAACGAACGGTCTGTGGGTCGGTCGGTTGGCTCAAACAATAAGTAATGAGCAGACGAGAAAAAAAAAAAAAGAGTAAATAAGAGAGAAAGAGAGAGACAGAGGGGGGAGGGATTAGATGAGCAGAAAAAAAAAAGATTTGTAAATCGTAGCAAAATAAATAAAAACAAACATTTTGTAAATAAAACAAAACAAATTTTTTTCTACTACTACGTGTTGATATAAGTGAAATATTTTTCTTTTGTTTAAATCTCGTCGCCATTTTATATTTATATTTACAATCGTATAAACAAAACAAAACAAAAATTTATTTATTTATTTATTTATTTATTTTATGTATTATGTAATTAAATAATTATTTTTAAAATACAACACGGGTGAATTAGCGTTTTCATTTATTTATTTATTTGAAAACAAAAAAAATGTTTGTTGGGATGTGCACAAAAAAAAAAAAGAAAAAACGACGAAGAGTCTTTGAATGAGAGTCTCAGACACTTTTTTTTTTTTTTAAATTTTGTCAACCATTCAAAAAAAAGACGTTTTCTTTCTTCTCTCTCCCCCTCTCTCTCCCCCTCTCTCTCTCACTCTCTCTCTCTCTCTCTCTGTCTCTTCTTTTTTCCGGTCAAAAAGTGAAGTTTTTTGATTTTAACCGTCATTTAAAATTTATAAATCCCATCATTTTTTTTCCCTTACGGAGTAAAAAAAATTTTTTTTTTTGTAATAACGACGAGAGGAGGTTAAAACGTGAAAATGATTCAATGTCACGAAATTAGGTTTCGATTTTCCCTCTCTCTCTCTCTCACTCTCAAGGTAATTAAAAAAGAAGAAAATTTAAAGTTTAGATAAATTTCCCCGATATGGTTTATTATTATTAATATTATTATTAGAGGCTATAAAAATTGTCTCGGTTATAATAATAGGGGTAAATAATTAATTAATAAATTTATATACGTATACGCGAAAGTTTTCTCCAAAAAAAAAAAAAAAGTTTGTTTTGTTTTTGTTTGTTGTTTGTTTTTTTACGCGCACGCAAATTTTTTTTTTTTTAATGAAAAAAACTTGATGAAAAAAAAAGAAAAAGACATAAAACAGATTGGAATTTTTTTTTTTACGTTATATAATTCAAGGCGGATAAAAGAACAACAAAAAAAAAGTAAGAATCGGTATTAAATCCGATTTATGTTTTCGTCCTTGACCTCATTTTAATGTTTTTGTTTTTTGTTTTTTTGGACAATGACGATATTGTTTTGTTTTCTTATATGGTTTTGTTTGATGATGATGGTGGGCCATCGAGTAAAATAAAAATTTGATGAAATTGTTGTGGAAGGTGTGTGTGTGTGTGTGTGTGCGTGTGTGCGTCACTCGTACATATTCCCCTACTACTGCTACTTTTGATTGAAAAATTCGATTTAAGTTAATTTTCTTTTTGTGTACAATGAGAGAGAGAAATAGTTTTTAAATTTAGACTCGTAAATTACTATAAAGGGAGGGGGGGTTTATTAGGAATCATTTTTACGATTCGACCGGAAATGAAAAACAATGATAGGAAATTAAAATAATGACGGATTTCGGTTTTTGTACGAGTGTGCGACAAACGAGTTGTTGTCACAATATTTAAAATTTTTGCCACTTCATATAGGAAAGTATAACGAATAAAATCGATAATAATGATAATAATAAATAAAACTATGACGATTGAGTTTAGTAGACGTTAAAATTATTTTCTTCATGCTGAAAATTTTTTTGTTTTTGCGTAAATTGTTTGCGTAAATTGCGTAAATTGTTTGTGTTGTTTGTCGTGCGTTTAGCGATCGAAATAGTTTTCTTTCCTTTACCCTATCGGAAATCAATATTTACCCCCTCCTCCCTTTTTTCTCCCCATTATTTGTTTCAAATAATAAAGAGGAAAAGAAAAAAAAATTTTAATTCATTCAAATCTCGAAAGAATCCTGTTTTATGGCGGTTGGAAAAAAAAAAAAAAAAAGTTTTCGATTCGAATTCGATTCGGCGGATTTTATCCAATTTAAAAAAAAAATTTTTTTTTTTTTTATGATGATGAAACAATAGAGAGAGAAATCCTATTCTATTATTATTATTATTATTATTATTATTATTATGGGTAGGAATAGATTTTTTTTTTTAAATTTGAGTTGATTGAATTTTTTTTTAAAAACGCAAAAATTGCAAAGAAAGAAAATTTTTTTTTTCTGCGTTATTTAATAAACAAAAATTATTATTATTATTATTATAACAATTTATTCATTTATTTATATTTAAAATTTTTATTAAAAAAAAAAAAAATAACGACCGACTGTCATTCATTTTTATTCAAAAAAATTTATTTATTTTTATTCGATTCTATCTACGAAAAAATAATAAAAAATAATAAAATTAAAATAAAATAAAATAATTTTTTTTTTATTTTAATTCGAGTTTCCAACGTCGAATAAATAAATTAAAAAAAATAATCATCGTGAAATATTTAAATTAATTGAATAATTTAATTTTTTTTTTTTTTTACTTTTTCTCGTTTCCTCGTTTCCTCGTTTCCTCTTCCCCCCTTGACCTCCCACTTTCCCTTTTCCCATTTTCCCTTTTCGTTTTCCAATTTTGCGAAATTATTTTTTTTTTTTATTCTAATGAGAAAATTCTCACGTGCCACGTGCGTGTGCGCGTTTCAAAGCGCTTTCTTAATAAAAATAATCAATTTTATTATTATTATTATTATTATTATTATTTTAACGTGGGTAATTAAAATCTTTATCGATTTTTCTTACCTTGTTATTATTATTATTATTACTACTTTTTAATTATTATCGATTGCGAATCATTGTTTTGTAGTTTAGTCAAAGTCGTGTAGAATGTACGACAAAAACAACAACAAACAACAACAACAACAACTCGTGTTATTATAATAACGTGTTTTGTCGCATTTTTAATGAAGGGAAATTAATTTTTTTTTTTTTTTTTGAGGACAGACATTTTAAAAATAAATAACAAAATTATTTTAATGGAAATACGACGACGAAGAATTTCGTAAAGGAAAATTTAGTAAAGAAAAAAAAAAAAAAAAATGTCTGACAAATTTTTTTTACATTATCGATTGTAAATTGTTAATTAATGCAAACAAACAAACATAACCGAGTTAGACTGCGAAATTTTCCCGTAATTAATAAATTAATTTTTAATGAAAAAAATTTTTTTTTTCTTTTTTTTGTTTAAATAATTTTCCTCGGGGTGAGTGAGACGGGGGGGGGGGTGAACGGATATGTAGCGGAGTCGCGATTTTATGTTAAAATTTAAAAACGTGATTCAATCAAAAAAAAAAATAAATTATTTAACGAAAAGGTAAATTAGAACGCGGTTAATGAAAATTCGCGGTCGGGCATTCTATCGTCTCTCTCTCTCTCTCTCTCTTTCTCTCTCTCTCTCTCTTTGGATTTTCTCATTTATTCGCTTATTCAGTCGAAACAGATTCTCTCTGGTTAAAATTTAATTTAGCATTCAAAAAAAAAAGGAAAAAAATTTTCTTCGTCTCCAAATTTCGATTCGAGTTAGCTAGCGTGGGTGGAGTATCGAAAAACCACACGCGTGTAAGCAGCACCATGGAAAAATCCACCCCCCCCCCATTCATTCATTCATTCATTTCGTTCGTTCACGAATCGTCGTTGCTAAAACTAGAGTTTGGTTTTTATCATCATTTTCAAGGGGGGCGGAGCGGGGGGTTGACGATCATCATCATCATATACGGATCGTTCGATAAGAAGAATTTATTCGATTATTTCGTCCTTGATTCTAATGGTAAAACATTCAAAGATGACAAGGTCAAGGTCGACGGGAATCATCCATTCCTCCGTGTGATGGAAGTCATATTAAATTGATAATAATAATAATATTATCGCTGGATTCGAAACGTTCATTTTTTGTTTTTTGTTTTTCACCTTGATAAATTTCATTTTGTAATTTTTTTTTTTTGGGGGGGGGGGTTTCTCTCTTATCAAATAAAAATAAATACATATTATCACGGATTTGCGTTCATTCATTGATTTAAATTCAAATGATTATTATTATTATTATTATAATTACCTGATTATTTATTACCTGACAAGGTTTTGTTATTTAAATTTGAAAACTTTTTCTAATAAATTTCAATTTTTTTTTTTTTTTTATTATTATTACTCGATTGGCAAAAAAAAACAAAGAAAGAATAATAATAATAATAATAATTGTACTTTGAAGTTTTTTAAAAAAAGAAATTTTACGAATTCAAAAAGACGAAAATATAATAATAATAATAATAATAATAAGAAAACGTCTCATTTCTTGAACGTGATTTATTTGCATTTGCGATTCAGTTTCAAAATGTGTAAAAAAAAAAAAAAAAAAAAATTGATTTTCTTTTTCGTTTTTCATTATTCAACACTGTTGACAAAGTAATAATAATGATAATAAATTTTTTTTTTTTTTTTTTTCATTTAAAAAATTTTTCTCGTGGGAGTTTATAAAAATTTTTAATTTTTTTTTTCATTTTTTCTTTTTTTTTTTTTTTTTTCAGGGGATTTGGCAAACAGGGATATCAATGCCAAGGTAAGCATCATCATTGATTGTTTTTTTGTTTGTTTCCTTTGTTTTTATTTCTTCGAATCATTCTTTATTTAATAAAAATGGCGTTCGTGTGATAAAAAAAAAAAATTTGGAACGAATTCGATAAAATTAAAATTTAAAGTTTGGAGAATTTTTTTTTTTTTTTTTTTTTGTAATTATCACATTTTCGTTTTAGTTAAAAGAGAATTAGTATTATTATTATTACATCATTTTTATTACTCTTAACGCGTGTGTGTGTGTGTGTGTTTTCGTATTGTAAACATCACGCACACACGCACGCTTTGTAAAATCATTATTATTATTATTTATTATTTATTTATTTATTTTCAGTATGCAGCTATACCGTACACAAACGCTGCCACGAATTCGTGTCATTTACTTGCCCTGGAGCTGACAAAGGAGCCGACTCCGATGTAAGTTTTTTTTTTAGTAAATACATCATCATCATGTTTACATTATTATTTGATTTGTTTGTTGGATTTTCCTCGGGTTTTGAATGGTGACAACAAAAGAAAAAAAAAAAATTTCTTAAAGAAAAGCGTAAGAATTTCCACCCCCCCCTTTTTCTTTTTTTCGCGTCCCATTTGATAGATCGATGATTATGTAAATAAGGAAAAAGAAAAAAAAAAAAAAATTTCATTCACATTCAGAGAATGACATCGTTAAAAAGAGAAACATACAACTATTTCCCCGCCCCCCCCTCCCCCTCCCCTCTTTTCGTCGTACGTTTCGATACATGTAGTGTAGAAATCATATAAATTGTAAATAAAAAAAAGAAAAAAAAGAAAAGAAGTAAACGTGAGGAGAAATGATAAATTATTCTTTTTTTAACTTTTTTTTTGAACGTTAAATTTCAAATGATGAAAATCGAATCGTTTAGGTTTTTGGATGAAAACCAAAGCAAAAAAAAAAAAAGAAAAGAAAAAAAGGTTTGAAATTTGACGTCATCAATTTATTTTATTTATTTTTATTCAATTTATCAATTTTTTTCGTTTTTTTCTCACTCGTGCAAATATTCACTTTCTCTCTCTCTCTCTTTCTCTCTCTCTCTCGGTCTCTTTGTGTATACTTTTACTTTTTCGTGAGATTTTTTTTTTTTTTTGTTTCAACGGCATCAAGCCAAAACGCACCTGAATAAAATGAAAAAATTTTCCCATCAATAAAAAAAAAAAAATGGAAATAAATGAGAATTTGGAATAGGTTCCCTGTTTTTTCAATTTTTTTTTTTTTTTGTCGAAATTTTTTTAAAATTTATAACACGAGCGTATATTTCATAAAATAATAATAATAATAATAATAAGTTTTATAAATTGATTGTTTATTTATTTATTATAAACTTTTTTCGAATTTAAATTTTAAAATTTTATGAAAAATTTAAAAATTATTTAAATTTATTTATTATTTTATTGAGTTTTGTTTTTTTTTTCAGTTATTATTATTATTATTATTAATTTTAACCGTTATAAATTTATATGATTTCTATAAAAATTTTCAAAATGGATCAATTGCTCCAATAAAAAAAAAAAAAAAAACTAAACAAAAACTATTATTATTATTATTGGTTTTATGATATTAAGGAAAAAGGCGGGCGTACTCGTATCGATATTTGATTGTTAGAGGAGGGGAAAAAGAAAATTATTGGCACAAATTTTCTTTTGAAACGAAAAACTTATAAAACCGTTAGTTACTATTAAATTTCCTTTTTTTTTTTTTTCTTTTGAAATTGCTGTCGTTAAATTTACGAATCGTTTAGCAAAAAAAAAAAAAAGAAAATCCGTCGAAATTTGCTCTGCGGCCACGTTTTTTTTTTTCGTACAAAAAAACAACGTCACGTTTTTATTTTTATATCGTTTACTCTTTTTTCTTTTTTTTCTTGCGTCCTTTTCTAATTTTTTTTTTTTTTTTTTTTGACAAAAATAGAATTTATTTTAAAATGTATTTTTTTCGAAGTGAATCAATTCGTTTATTAGCAGGTGCATTCACACCTGTTACATTTAATTGGTTTTTAAATGTAATGAGCGAATCGTTTGTGTCACAAAGTAATGTAAAAAGAATTTTTTTAAATTTAAATTTAAATTGAAATGAAAAGTAAGACGCACAATACGATACGATTGCAATGATCGCAAAGAGGTTTTAGAAAAATAGAATCTGCATATTTTAGGGATGGCAATAATAATAATAATAATAATAAGGGACGAACCTGGGAAATCGATAAACAAATTTAAAACGAAAAAAAAAAATTTTTAATTTTTTTTTTTTTTTTTAAATATTCTAAAAAAATTTTCCGCAAAAATATTGTCTCCGCGGTTAACGTTGGTTAGAACGTAATTAAAAACTTTTGTCGTCGGTCGTGAAAATAATAATAATAATAATAATAGGAATAGTCTCGGAGGGAATTGGCTTAGGTCAAAAAAAGGGGAGCAAAGTTTTTTTTTAAACTTTGCCTTTTTTTTTTTTTTTTCTCAACCCGGGGAGAAAAACAAAAAAAAAGGGGAAAATTCTCTACTTTTGCATCCGTTGTTTGTTGTTTTTGTTGTCGCGTAAAAAAAAAAAAAAAAAAAAAAAATTATTCAATTTAATAATGGAAGTTTCAACCTTTTCTCTCTCTCTCTCTCTCTCTCTTTTTTCTTAATAATACTAAAAAATTTTGAAACGTTTGATTCGATTCATTTTCCAACGTTTTAATAGAAAAAGTTGAAATGAATTCGAAGAGAAATTTTTAATAGTAAATTCGAATAAAAGGTCGAATAATAATAATAATAATAATAATAATAATAATTTAAATTCAACCTTTTTGTCCATTCATTCAATCAATCTGACTTTAATTGATAACGTGAAAGAAAAAAAAATTAAATTGAAAAAGAAAACGATTTGATTTGAAGAAAGAAAGAAAGAAAAAAAAAAGAAAAAATTTAAATTTTTCCTAAGGGCAAAAGAAAAGTTGAAAAGAAAAAGAAAATTTTCCTCTTAACATTGTTTCTTAAATAATAGAAATCCGTTAAAAAAAAAAAGAAAATTAGAAGGAAGAAAGTTATTTATAATAATAAAATGTTTTTTTACACAAATTTTGTAATAAAATTAAAAACGGAACCGGAAATGCAATTAATGCGCGCGTACTTCCGCCTATTTTGTATATAACGTGCCGAACCTTAAAACGACTTTTATTTTTGGTTGCATGAGAAAAACTAAAAAAAAAAAAAAAAAGGTTTATTTGCTTTTCTTATTTAAAACGCGTCTCTTCCCCTCCTCCCTCCTCCCGTCATCTCATCACCCAGAGTAAATCTCTTTCTTTGTGAAAAGTAAAAAAATTAAATTTTTGGATTTTCGAAACCTCAAAACGTCCGCGAACCGTTTTTTTTTTTTTTAAAGAACCTGAAATCTCTTATTTTATTTTATTTTTTACAAGACTCGGGGTTTATAAAATTAATTTAAATGTTGAAAACGAAAAACGTTGTTCGTTGCGGTTTTTCTCTTTTTATCTTTGTAAGGGAACCTCGAGTTTTTTTTTTTTTTTTTTTTTGCTTATTCGGGGGGTTAAATAAATATTTGAATGGTAAAACCAATTATGACGTCACTAATTAGATGACTAATCGGACTAAAACTTTGAAAAAAAAAAAACGTACCTGAAAAAATGGCGACGAAATTTTTTTTTTTTTTAATTTTTCGATTTTTTTTTTTTTTTTTAGGATTCCAGGACGAAACACAGGTTCAAAGTTCACACGTATTCTAGTCCGACGTTCTGTGATCATTGTGGGTCTTTGCTTTATGGAGTCATACATCAAGGAATGCAATGCGAAGGTAAATATATTTTTTTTTTCTTTCGATTTAATTCGAGTTGGAATTCGACTCAAAGGAAAAAAAGGAAAATTTCAAATCACTTTTCCATAAAAAAAGGGGGGGGGAAACTATTTTATTTTACTTTTATTTTTTCGATGAATTTAATTTACTAAATGGAATAAATAATTGTCTCGCTGTAAAATGAGCCTAAAGATTTCCTCTCTCCTGCAGATAAATAATAAAAATAAAGGAAAGGAGTGAGTGAGATGGGGGAGGGAAGAAGGGGGGGAGGGGGAGGTAAGTGGAGGGAAAAAAAAGGAAAATTGTTTGCGGGCGCCAGTCGCTATTTTTATTTTTTTTGTTTGTTTTTGTTTTCCTCGTGGGAAGATTTTTATACGAAAAGTATAATAAACTTTTTTTTTTTTTTTTTTTTTTTTACAATTTTTTCGTGTTGTTGTTGTTGTTTTGATCGTCGTCTGCTTTGCTTTCCTTTCCTTTGTTTCCCCTTCGTATTTTTCCAACCGGTTGTTTTTGTTTTTATTGGTGTCTTATCGACATATAAATCATGATTGATTTTTTTTATCGATTATTGATGATCGATTTGTAAATCGATTAAATCGGAAAAGAATCGATATTATTTACTTTTTGTTTTTTTTTTTTTTTCGAATAATTTAATTTGAGGTTAAGAAATTTCAAAGGGTTTTGTAATAATAATAATAATAATGATTCGGCACGTGGGATAAATTTTAATAATATTTGAGGCGCCATTTTTGAAATTTAATGACATTTTTTTTTTTTTTTTTTGGTTTCGTAAAAAATTGTTTTTTTTTTTTTAGAAATCGTTTTAAAAATAATTTGACCGTTAAATTTGTCAGAAAAAAAGTTGATTTATTATTATTATTTATTTATTTATTTTTTTTGTGCTGTGAATTCTTGGAGAGAAAAAAAAAAAAAAAAAGAAAGAAAAAAAATATTCTAAATGACGGTTGGGAAATCGTAAGAGAGTCATTTTTTTTTTTTTTTTTTTGCTTTTCCCAAACGGTTAAAATTATGATATCGAATTCGAATCGAAATATATCGAACGGCGATTCGATTTAAAATCATTTCATTCGTTTCCTTTTTTTTTTTTAATTTTTATGTTTTACACGTTTCGTGTTAAAAAATAATTTTCTCCACGACGAATTTTACTGGTTACGAGTTTCTTCAAAGATTCTTGTACACACTTTTATTTAAATCATATGTATCGTGTCGTTTATTTTTTCATTTTGTCAGACTACGTAAATAAAACAGATGAATGTGAAATTCTTCGACTGCTTCCACGACGACTCGTTTCACTAACAACAACAACAACAAGAACACGAAGCGAAAAATTTTCTATATATATTTTATTTGGTCGTTTTTGGTTTTGTTCGTCTTCAAACGTTTTCATTTGATTTTATTAATTTTTTTTGTTTGGGGGTGGTGGGGAGTTAATTATTTAAATTGTGCCTTTTTTTTAGAAATTTCAAGTTCGTAAAATTTCGCTTTTTGGGGAGGGGAAAAAAAACAAGAAAATAATGATAATTCAGTCAGGGCATATGATTGATTAAATGCTTTAAAATGTAAATGTTAATGTTTACCTTTGAAACGTGATAAATTTTTTTTTTTCTTTTTTTTTGTTATTTTTACGACTTTAATTGATTACAATCATAAAAAAAAAAAAAAAAAGAATTTTTTTCTTCTTGAATGTGATCTCTCTCACTTTGATCGAATTTCAATCGTTATTTAATTAATATTATACGGGTTATTAAATTGGGAGGAAGGGGGAGGTGCGAAGGGCGGTGGCGGAAGCGGAAATCGAACTCAAACGTAAATAAATCGAAAAAACCGAAATTTAAAATGTTAATCTTTTGTTATTTATTTTTTGCGGAGACTAATAAAAATTTTTCCGAATAAAAGAATGAATGAATGAATGAATGAAAGGAAGAAAGGAAAGAAGGAATGAAAGGAGCTGGAGGAGATTTTTACCGTCAATAATAATTAATATCAATGACTCTTTGACGACGATTAACGGGGTAAATAAATAATTAAACGCACACGTCGAATTTTAAATAATAATAATAATAATAAATTTCGAATTTTATTTTATTTATTTTTTTTTTTTTTGTCTACTGCGACGACTTAATGTAATACAACTAATTAGTAGAATTAATATTTATTTTCATTCACAAATTTTAATTCGCGGGTGGTGGAGAAAAAGAGAGGAAAAATAAATAAATAAATAATTAAATAATTTAAAGAAATCTTTTTTTTTTAAGGGGGGGTTTTTACAAAATGGCGGACGACGAATGGATTTTTTTTTTTTGGTTTTGATTCGAGAGTTGTTTAATTTAAGTTTACTATTCCCGTGGGAACGTGATAAATAATTTATTTTTTCTTTTATTTGCGATCGTGAATATATGGACGTGCGTACGTGTGTGCGTGCGTGTGCGTATAAATGCACGCGTTTAAATCCCCCGAAAGGATTTATTGATAATTTTTAAAAGAAAACGATTTCGAATCTGGAGTAGTATGGATAAATGGCGCATTTCGTGTTTTTCAAAAATTCATTTTTGTTACCAGAAAAAAGTAGACGACACCTGATTCATACGATAAGATTTATTATTATATTATACCCGAGTTTTCTGGGACAGTTTTCCCCCCGCCCCCCCCCCTCATTTATTAATAATGTATAGCTTACGGTTTATGTATATACGTATAAAAATTGACATTAAAAAAAAAAAAAAAAAAACAGATGTTGTCGCTTTTTTTCTTCTTAAAGGAAAAATACAAAAAAAAAAGTTTCTCTCTCTCTCTCTCTCCCCCTCTCTCTCTCTTTCTCTCTTCTCTTCTTTGGATTTGGAAAATTCAAAACGTCTCCATTATTTTTATTTATTTTTTTTAATTTTGAGTAGTAGTAGTAGTAGTAAAGGTAGGAGACTGACTTTATTGGATTTTTTAAAAACCAGAGAGAGGGAGGTGGAGGGGGGAGGAAGGGAAAAGTAATAATGGTACACGTATAAACAAATTGAAAATAAAATATGAAATTTTTTGCATTTAGTTTCCAGTTGTTTCATGACCCGTAAATACAAAGTCGTCGTAAATTTGATGCGCTTTTCCCTTTTTATTTATTTATTTATTTATGAATGCACTTTGTCGGAATTTTTGTAATTTTAAATTTTAAAAATTTTCCGGTAGGAGGAAAATAAAGCTCAAAACCGGATGTAAAAATAAAAATTTTCATCCGGGGATTTAGTTTTTTTTTTTTTTTTTTTTGGTTGCACGTAAAATTACATTTTTTAACCTATTTTTTATTTTAATTTCTTTTTTTTTTTTTTTTTTTTGACTTTTATTGATGATTTTTCATTATTTTTCTTCATTTCTTTGAAAATATCGAAAATTCTAGAAAAGATACGAGTTTAAATTGATTTTTTTTTTCGACAAATTATTAACGAGATAATTTCAATGTTAAAATGATAAAGGAAAATTGCGGAAAATCACTTCGCTTTGCACAAAAATTTCCCAATTTTTTTTTTTAATTTTTTTTGGTTGAGTGGAAAAAAAGTAAACAAAAAATTTAAAAAAAAAGAGTAAAAAATAAAAATGGAGGAGAATGAGGATGGAAAAAAAAGAAAATTATTTTTTTGTCGAGTAATAAAATTATTTTTGCGGGTAAGAGAGGACGCATTAAAAATAAAAGACACGCAACAAACGGATGAGGAAAATAAAAAACTTGAAGGCACACAAAAAGCAAGCGACGTAAAAAAAAAAAAATGCGAGAGAGAAAAAGAGAGAGAAATTGAATTAAAAGGCTTTAACGGAAATAAATTGAAGAAAATTGTAGAAAAAAAAAAAAAAAAAATTGAATTTAAAATAGGTGGCCGGGTAGGCGGAGGGGAGCGTGGGAGAAAAAAAAGAGGACCGATAGTAAATAAAAAAAAAAAAAAAGAAAGAAAAGGGAAAACGAAAAATTTTTTTTTTTTTTTAATTTCAGGTACGGGAAATTTATATTTTCTTCATTTTTTTTTTTTTTTATTCTGAATTTTGAATCATTAATAATAATTAAGAATGGAATCGATATTTAATGGAAAAAGAAAATTATTAATTATAAATTATTTATTAATTAAAAATTTATTAATTTAATTAACGACGACGTTCGTTTTATTTAATTTTTATCTCAAAATGTGTGTATTGTTTCGTCCTTCAGATTTATTATTATTATTATTATTATTATTTCCATTATAAGTACTTTACTATTGTTATTATTATTATTATTATTAAACAATATTCCCATTATAAAACGATATAAAACGACGCGTTGTTGTTGTTGTAATTATTATTGTTTATTATACGATCAAATGAATCAATCGATCGATTCGATTAATTATCGCGAGAAACGTACATTGAAATTATTATTGTCGAAAAACAAAAGAAAAAAATTTTTTTTTTGAAATTTTCCGATATTTTCCGATTAATCGGATTTAATGATGTTTTTTTTTTTTTGTATGGAAGAGAGAATAAGAGAAACAATTATATTTATTTATTTTTTTTCAATTTATTTGTTTTTGACGCCACCTAAATGTAAAAACGCAAAAAAAAGGAAAAATAAAAGGAAAATAAAAGGAAAATAAATAAAAAGTAAAAAAAATTTCAAGATGGGTCAAGTGTTATGTCGGTTGACAAATATTTTAACTCTCCGACCGTCGAAAGCTCTCACTTTTATAAAAAAACAAAAAAATTTTCCGAGAAAACCCGCTAGGAAATTAACTATTTAGATTTTTTTTTAAATAATGGATTATGATGGATAATTCGATCGATCGTTCGTTCAAAGGGTAAAAAAATCTCGTATTATTATTATTATTATTAATTTACTCGATAACAATATTTATTAATCCGATGAAAATTTAATTATTTAAATGAGATATCACAAAGTGTTCAATTAATAAAAAAAAAAAAAAGAAAAAATGTTTTTAATTACAATTTTATTAATATCAGAATAGATTTTCTTCAATTTCTTTCTCTTTTTTTTCATTTATTTATTTTGCAAAGGTGATAATTTGACAATGGATAGATCAATTAATCAATTTTATTAATTAATTTTTATCGATTCGATCAATTTATTAATTAATAATATGTGGGAAAATTTTCTTTTTTTAATAAAGTTTTCGAAAATGATGGGAAGAGGAAATAGTTTAGAAGGAAAATTTTTTAAAAGGAAGAAAGAAACGCCGTAAAATTATTGAACTTTGTGATTGATCCATTAATTTTGGACAAAGGACAAAAAAGGAAAAATAATAATAATATTTATATAGTAACGAATCGGACGAGTAAAATGTTAACAAAAAAGTTACGAAATTTTTTTTTTTTTTTTTTTTGTCGAAAATAATCAAAATATTGCATCATTAATACGCCCACTATTATAAGTATCAAAAAAAAAAAAAAAAATTTAAATCCTTCTTCGTTTTGAAATTAACTTCCGTTGATTGAAGACGACAACTTCCGGTGTGTCTTCTCACAAGAAAAACGAACGAAATGATTTCTTATCTCTATTATTTATTTCATTCAATTTTTTTCGATCGTTTTTTTCGGTTTTTTTTTTCAATTTACTTGGAAAATTATATGGCATAAAAAATTATTATTATTATTATTATTATTATTATTATTATTATTATTATTATTATTACTTTCAGCATGCGACATGAACGTTCACAAAAGATGCGAGGAAAGCGTTCCAAATTTATGCGGTTGCGATCACACAGAAAGGCGAGGCCGAATCGAACTTAAAATCGATTGCGTGGGAAATAAATTGACAGTCGAGGGTGAGTTTTTAAAACACAAAAAAAAAAAAAAATTTATAAACATTTGGGGTGTATTTGCACGTGTGATAAGGTACTGTTGTGTTAGGCGACACGTGGAAAAACTTTGAAATAATGGAACAGTTTTATTATTATAAAATATAACGTAATCTTTTCACTCTTTTATGGGCCCCCCATTTTCCATATATTTGTTTGTTTTATTATTATTATTATTGTTGTTTTAAATATTTTTCAAACGTCATTAAGAGGGCTCCCAGTTGACGGGCGGCTAAAGGCTTTACACGAATTTTAGCTTTAGGAAAAAGACAAAAAAAAAAAAAAAGAAATTTTTAGTCAAAGGGAAAAATTTTCCGAAAACTTCCTTGTTTCAATATGGCCGCGATACAAGAAAAAATTTTCTTTCTTTCACATAATAAATTTATTACGTAATTTTTTTTTTATATATTTAAGTTACGTTGTTTTTATCGATTCGTCGTCTGCTTTATTATCGTCTCTTAACCCTTTTTTATTTTGAAAACAAACGAAGAAGAGAAAAAAGAGATTTTCATTCGTTTATTAAAATGTTTTTTTTTTGTTTTTTTTTTTTTTTTTTTTTTTTTAATCAGTCAAACAGGGTAAAAATTTAATTCCAATGGATCCAAACGGGTTATCGGATCCTTACGTCAAATTGAAATTGATTCCCGATTCGGACAACATAAAGAGAAAAACGAAAACCATAAAAGCGTGCCTGAATCCCGTTTGGAACGAAACCATCGTTTTGTAAGTAATCGAATTTTAAACTTTTTTTTTTTTTTATTATTATTATTTTTTTCTTTTATGTTTTTATTTGTGTTCTGAAACGATGTTTCTCCCCCTCCTCCTCCCCCTCTCTCTCCCCCTTTCTCTCTCCCTCTCTCTCTCTCTCTCTGTCTACACCATATCTCTTTTCAACATATACTTACATTATGCATTATGAAAAAAAGAAAAAATCAAGTGCAAGCAAGTAGGATTTAAAAATTTATGACGTCATTTTTTTTTTTTTTTTTATTATGAAGTTGTTGTTTGCGCGTGAAAAGCGTTTGAGACGGTAAATTGTTTTTTTTTTTTTTTTAATAAAAAAAAAGGGGGGAAAGCGGGGAAAAGGAAAAGCTGATGATGATGGTCAAAAAAAATAAATTGAAATAACATCACGTTTAAATGAAAACTCGTGAAATTTTGACGTTGTTTTCATTTTTTTAAAAAAATGAAGTTTACTAGAAAAATAATTAAAAGTAAATATATTCGGCGGAAATGAATGTGAAATTTTTTTGAAAAACGCTTTTCTTTTTTTTCTTTTATTTATGGTTTATTTATCCCCCTCTCTTTCTCTTTTTAAGTTTTTCCCGCTTTTCCGATTTTTTTTTCTCCTTTTTTTTTACTTGTCGCATTTTTTTATTTTAGCTTTAAATCAAAAAAAATTTTTTTTTTTTCTACGGCTTATTTTGGGCAACGGAAATTTTTCATTTTCAATTTTGACCTTTTTCTCTCGTTTTTTTTTTTTTTTATGTTGTTTGGAAATTTTTAAGAGAGACAAAAAGTGGAAGAGAGAGAGAAAGGGAGAGATAGAGAGAGACAGGTTATTTAACAACAACAAAAAAAAAAAAAAAAAAAAAAGGTGAAAATTCAATAACTTTAAAAGTTAAAAAAAAAAAAGGTTTCGACCCTGGTTTCCCGAGTTTTTTTTTTTTTTTACTTTACTTTACGCCTTTTAAAACCTTTTTTTTTTGTTGTTGTCCGTCCTTTCCTTTCCTTTATTTAGTCAAAGGTTTTTTTTTTTTAATATTTTATTATTATTATTATTATTATTGTACGAGTAAAGAAATTTTTTTTTTTTCGGTTCATTAATCGTTAAAAATTTATCCGAGTGAATTAGAAACAAGAAAAAAAAAAAAAGAAAACATTTTTTTCTTTTGTAACAATTTAATTAGTTGATGATGATGATGATGATGATGATGATGATGTAGATGTAGAGAAGTAAAAACGAAAATTCGGGGGAAAAAAATAATAGAAAAAGAGAGGGGAGCGGGGGCAGGGGGGAGGGAGGAGGGGAAATGATGGCGAAAATCTCTCGTGAGAAAATAAAAATAATTAAAAATAATACATTTTCTTTTTTTCGTTTAATTAATTTTTCGCGTTAAAAAAAAAAAATGACCGAACCTTTTTTCTTCGAATTTTTTTTTTTTTTTTTTTTTTTTTTTTATTCTCTCGAATGTTTACAACCGAATCGAAAGTTTTTTTTTTTTTTCCCTCCACATTTTTAATGAGTCTTAAATACATTATAAATTAGAGTAATTAAAAAGTAAATTGGAGGAGTAATTAAATAATTTTCAATTTGAATGCTTTTCCGTTTTGTTTTTTTTTTTTGTTTCACGGACTTTTCTTTTCTTTGTTTAATTTTCCCTTTTTTTCCTTTTTTTGGATATCCTAAATTTCAAAAAAAAGGGAAATGGTTGTTTGGGAACGTAAATAACATAATCGCGATCGATTAAATCTCCTTTTCTTGTCCGAATAATCGATGATGATAATAAGTCCTTTTTTTTTTTTTTGCATTAAATTCCAGTGATCTTAAAGCAGAAGACAAAGATCGAAGATTGTTGATCGAAGTATGGGATTGGGACAGAACGTCGAGAAACGATTTTATGGGTTCTCTCTCGTTTGGAATATCGGAATTGATAAAAGAACCTGTAGACGGATGGTACAAATTGCTTACGCAAGAAGAAGGAGAATTTTACAATGTTCCGGTTCCGGCGGAAGGAGTTGATTTAGCTCAACTCAAACCTAATTTGAGAGTGAGTATTCACCATTTTTCTTTTTTTTTTTTTTTTTTTTTTTGTAAAGTCGAAGTTGTTTTGCTAAAAAAAAAAAACCGGATATCCTTCCTGTAAGACGAGTTATCGATCGATCTATCGAAAAAAAAAGCGTGGGAAAAGAATTTTTTTTCTTGTCATTGATTTCCGCTAGATCGATGAATCGAATAAAATCAAAATTCGTTTCCTATTAATAAAGTATCGTAATTATTATCGTTTTAATAGGTTTTCGTTATTTTATAATTATTTTATTTTATTTATTTATTTACTTAATGTGAAAACATTTTTGAAATTAATAAAATTTTATTTAATTTGGAAAAGGTGAAATAAAATAAAATTTAATAACCACGACAGAAAAATTAAAATTTTAGAAATTAACGTTCGAGATTATTAAAGGGAAGGTGGGGGAAAGGTGGGTGAGGTGTGGGGAGTTATTCGTTTACCAATTTTCAATTAAATAAAAGAGAGAGAGGGAGAAAATATTTACTTCCGGTTTATTCCGGTGAAATTCCTTTCTATTTCCGGTCAGTTATTTTTCGTTATTTTAATTATAAAGTTTTTTTTTTTTTTCGGAATCGACTCGAATATAATTCGAAAGTTGGTTTTCGGTTTGTTTTCCCGAAATTAAGAGGAGAAATTTGGGTTTTCCCGCCCCCCAAAAATAATTTCAGTCGGATTCGAGATGAAATCGCGAGCTTTTATTAAAAAAAAAAAAAAAAAAAAGAAAATTTCTGTAGTCGAATTTCAGGAGGCCCCTCTTTCTCTCTCCATATCTCTCTTTCTCTCTCTGATGTATTTCTATTTACTCAAAAAGGAAAATTTAATTACGTTTTCTTTTTTAATAATGATTGTTTTCATTCGAATTACTCGGTTCTAAGATTTCAAATTTACTTTTCTAAAAAAAAAAAAAAAAAAAAAAAAAAACAAATGAAAATTAAGTTACGATGTTGATGATGATAATAATTAGAG